TAATTATAAATTTATATTAAAATTTTAATATTTAATTTATTAAATATTTAATTAAATTCATTTATCTAAAATCAACTATAGGTATTATATTTGTTTCTATATATTTATGATAAAAAATTATTCTTAATCTATATTTTGGGATGTAAAATAAAAAAAGCCTAAAAAAATATTCCAATCTAATTAATTTTGTAAAAATTACACTCTTTTTAATAATTAATATAGTGGTATAAGTGAGGTAGAATCAGCCTTTCATTTTTTTTATTTTTTTTTTTGTGTGTTAAAAGTTAACATCAATTCTTTTAGAATTTCACAGGAACAGGATTAGAAACTGAATCTATGAAATTGTGTACTTGTGTAGATTTCTGAGTTGAGTTTAGTTCATAAGTTTTTTTTTTTAAATTTGTGTACTTATATCATTTTCAAATTTAAGAGTGAAAAAAAATGCTTATAAGCAGCTAAAAAAACCCCTGCCAAAAATCCCATTTAAAATAAATGAAAGAATTTGAGACTTACATTAGACTTTGTCTGGCTCATCATAACTGACATTTCATTCAAGAAATCGCCCATCCCCTGCACATTAACATGTAGAAATACGTTAGCTAGGAAGAAGCATTAATACTAAAATTTACGGGGTTTTATTTATCCTAACTACCTGTTTGGATGGTGCGAAAATAAATAAAGTAAAAAAGAAAGAAGAGAAAAGGTACATTTTCGTCATCATCGCTGTCATAGGCTCCAACGTCGTACAGAAACCTCTTATTTGCGTCAGAGAGAACTTCAGGACACAGAAAAAATGCAAGTTGAAACTCAGCATCTCGTGAATCCAATAATTGCACACGAAAAATACTTTAGATTTTTGCAAATTTGGAAAATTTTTTTAAAATAATAGGAAGTTTAACTTGTGCACGGAATTTGATTTATACTGTATTTAAAAAAAAAAAAAATTACCAGCATATGCTTGCTGAATTGCCTGGAATTTATTTTTGGCTTCTTCCACGAACTTTGAATTCCCGGAGGCAGAACACCGATCTGGGTGCCATCTCTATCCAAACAAACACAACACATTCACATAAAAATTCATTTTCTCGGGAAAGTTCACCTCCATTTTCCTATTAAACAAACAATTCCTCATTGTTTCTGGCTTTTTTGAGAAATACCCATTAATGAACTTCCCCTGTTTTGTGAAGAACAGATCAGAATAATGAAACCCAAAACCAAAAGTTATGTTCCTTCAGTTAAATTTACAAAATCAGATCAAAATCTATCATATTACAGAGGGAAAGAGAAAAAACGAAAAAAAGAAAAAAAAAGAAAAGGGAAAAAACCCTAACCATTGCAAGTCTCTTATACGCATCCCGGAGCTCTGAGTGAGTGCATTCCTTATTCAACCCCAAAACTGCATAAAAATCATTACTTTTCTCTCCTCCATTTGACATTCTGAAACCAAACCAAACACCACCAACAACAACAAACCAAGCCCCAACAGACAACCTTTTTTGTTTTAGATAAATTCAACTAGAATCATAACACGACTCAAACTACATGTTTGTGAACCGTAACAGAAACCTTAGCATTGATTTGAAGTTTCCGTGGAAAGAAAGCGATCAAAAGAGAAAGAGCAAAAAAAGAAAGGAAAAGAAATCCCTTTCTTTCTCTTCAAAAAACGCTGAGAGCCCAAGAACTCTCCAGAACCCGGTCATTATATAGTTTTTATGGGAGTATTGGAGAAATACCTAACCTTTTTGCTTTACGCCTGCTTTATATACACTGCCTTTTTTCTTTGGGGGGGGAGGGGTGGTTTGTGGGGGGAGAAGGAATATTGTATTTAAAAACGTAAATTTATTATTTTTGATATTAATTTTTTAGTATTTGATAATTATGTTGAGATTTGAATGATATAAAATTCAGTTGCGTCAAACTGTAATAAAAGAACAAACTTTGTTTATATTTATTTCTTCATTAATAAAATTTAAATCGATAACTTATGGGAAGAAAATTGAATTTATTTTTATTCGAATTAATAAATCATTAATTAAATAATTCATAGGTTATTTTTTTACTAAAAATAAAAAATTTTAAATTTAAGTCGCATGATAGATAAGTACAATAAAATAAAAAATAAAAAATAATTATCTCTTACGGTACAATCAAGATAAATAAAAATAAAAAAAAGTAATTTGTTAAAACTTATAAATTTATTATAAATGGTTATCTTTTTATAAATTTGAAGAAAACTTAATTACTAGTTTAAATATTTTTAACAGGAAAAGACGAAAAAAAAAAGGACCTTACCAGCAAGCCAGCCTTTCCAAACCCATCCAAGAGTTAGTTTGAAAATGTTGGCACGTAATTATAGCATTAAGTTTTTAGCTTTTTAATAGTTTAAAAATATATAAAATATATTTTAATATTTTAATATTTATTTTAATTAATATTTTTATATATTTTTAAAGATTTTTTTAGTGGGTAATAAATATATAGTTTTATAATTAATTTATATAAAAAATGATAAAAATTTATTTATTTATTTTTTGACAAGGATAATGGTTAGTAGGTTTGTTTTTTTAGTTGTTAGTAATTGAAAATTCAATTCTTAAATCTGGTGAACATCCCACCTCTCTCAATGAAACGCGTGGGCCATCAAGTCGGTTAGTGGAGTTCTGATAAAAATTTATTGGAATTTAATTAGTTGATTAATTAAAATTATTTATATAATAATATTAAAATAAAAATTAAATTTTTTATTTTTAAATAAATTAATTATAAAAAATATATATTTATTACATTTTTAATTTATATCTTTAAAATATAAATTAAACAAATTTATTTTTAAAATAATAAGAGATATAAAAATTACAAAATAAAATTGTAAAAACTATTTTTTTAAAAAAGTTAAGCAGAACACTACCAAATAAAACTTTAACTTCATATTATTATAAACTTTTTTTATTTTATAATTTGAATTATTTTAAACTATAAAATAAAATCTTTTAAACAAAAAAATTTTAATATTAAAAAGTCTATCTTTATTCAACGATTATTATTTAGTTATTCAAAATAATTTAAATTATATAATAATTTTTTATTATAAAAATAAAATAATTTATATATCTCAATTTAAAATGACCAATTATAATTAACTATTTCGATTTTAATTCAATTTTTGGAATTTATGATGGATGTTGGATAAGGATGGGAATAGTGATGACGGCAGAGATGGGATGGGAACTGAAGATATTTTGGATGTTGTGTATCCAGAAGGTTCTTTGTGGTATTGGGTGGGCGTCGGGCCCATTTTGGCGGCATGAATTTTATTATCATTAAAACATGGTCATAAAGAGTCAAAAAGATGTTTTTTGGGTCAAATCAACTTGGTCCACTATTTTGTTAAAGTTATTTAATTTAATTATTAAAAATAATTAATAATATAATTAATATTTATTATTTAATAAATTAAAATTAATTTATAAATTAATATTTTTAAATATTATAATTAATTATTTAAAAATTACAAATACATAAAATATTAATCAAATTAAATAAATTTTAAGTAACTTTAATAAAATAGTGAATAACTAACTTTTTTCTTTTGCCCGTGCGCTGCACAGGTTATTTTTTAATTTTTTTATATTAGAATTTAAATTTTATATTATATTTTATTAATTTTTAAATTTTTTTTAAAAATTAAAAATTTGAAACATTTTGACATTACACTCACTTATGCTTTTATCTTTGAATTAGATAAAAATAGTAATATTAAATAATAATAATAATAATAATAACAATAACACTTTTATTTTTAATTTTTAATTCACTTGAATCGTTTGTATATTACCTCATGTATTAATATAGAGATAAATTATATTTAATTTATAAATAAATTGTTTCAATTTTTGAAATTAATATTGAAATGCTACAACAACAATCATTTATATGTTACATTATTAATTATCTGCCTTTTGATCTTCTATTATCAACTATTGCATAATAATTTTAATTGAGGTTATATTTTTTATTAATTAAATTGATTAAATTAAATTTTTGTATATTCATGATTTTTTTACTTTTCATGCTCTCATATATATATATATATCTTCTTTTAATTTATCAACATAAGATTTTTAGTGTAAAAGAAAGGTGAAAAGAAAAATCACATAAATTTGAAATTGTAAAAGTAAAATTGAGTCATTTAAGGATTTTATTATTGTAAAAATAACTATTGTATATTATAATCTTATAATTGTTATTATTCTTTATAAAATCTAATTTCTATTCCCCTTCCTTTAATTTAATATATTATACTTAACTAAAAATAATAATAATAAAATAATTATTAACTAATAATTTAATACAATTATATAAAAAACTAATTAAAAATTAAAAAAAAAAAAACCTTACCTTTTTTAAGATAAAGTGTCATGAGCAAAGGGTTTGCATGAAACTTTAGCAAACAAAGCCTATGACTCCCAAGTAAAAAACAAAAAATGAAATATGAATAACAAATTAGAAAAAAATAATATTATTAGAGCTTAAAAATTATAATAAAAACTAAAATTTGAATACTAATAAGACAATAATTTATACCATCAAACAATTAATCACTAAGAAGAAAAGAATTATTAGGAATTTTAGGAAACAAAATAAAATTTAGTGAAAATAATCAGCAATAAAAATTAATAATTTACCTTTAAAAATAGAGTGACTTGATAATAAATCTAATAAATTATAAGAAAAAAATTGTTTGAAACTTTTAGAAGCAAATAAATTAGAGTGAAAATAATAAAAAATATAAGCTAGCCTAAAATGAAAATCAAGAGAATAAAAATTATATATCATAGCAAACATGATTGATCTATTAATAGATTCCATGAATTACAACTATCTAGTCAATAATAATAATAATGGAGAACTTTGTTAGGAATTTTAGTTAAAAAACAAAAACAAAAAGGGAAACAATCAAGAGGAAATTTTTTTTTTTTTTACAGTAAACAATGCTTAAGAACTAATTAATTTAAAGATTCTAACTCTACACATTTCTAACAAATCATTTTTAAAATGCTCATGTACCAAATTAGATATCTCCCTAAATACATAAAGAACTCTTTCTAAATGGTAAAATCTCAAAGCCATTTAACATGGACAATAGTTTGCTTTCCCAAAGATGTGATGCACCTCACATTGCCATTCTCATTGCATAAAGCCCCTACACTTGCATATCTAATTGGTTAGCAAACTGCTTGTTCTTTTTTATTTTTATCAATACTACTTTGACAAGAAATCAATGGACTATAAATAATAGGAAGAGAATTTAGAGATAGGCATCAATATTAGAAAATTAATAGCAATAATGAGAATATTTTAAGAGAAAAAAAATTAAATATATTCATTATCTAGTGAACTTTAATTTCATGAAAGGAAAAATCAAAAGGTATGTCTCTTTATCTTATTTTGGTTTAATATACATGTAACGGGAAATAATAATAAATATATTAATTTAATATAGATCAAATAATTGGAGGGATTGTTTTACTGCATATTTATGCATTAATTAAGGATATATAGCAAGCTTGACCAACTCATTAGTATAAAATGCATACCTGTTTTTTTTTTTTTAATGTTTCTAAATTATTGTTAATACATACCTTATGTAATGCATAGGGGTAGCATTATATGTATATATATTTGATGCAGAATAGTGTAACTTTTGATAAAAAGATAAATTGTCCATTTATGAATTATTATATATAATAATTATATAATAAATAATACATATATATTATATATTTATTATATATTAAATATATATAACAATTATATAATAAATAATAAATATATATCATTATATTATTATATATTAAATATATATTAAATATATATAAATGCATACCTTATTTAATGCATAACGTAGCATTTTATATATATATAGAAGATTATAACTATATTCTATTTTAATTTGATTGATTTTATTAATTTATAATTTTATTTTTTAAACACTTAATTAAAGTATTTGAAAATATTACTAATATTAATTTATAATCTAATTTAAAATTAATATCGATTAATTTATAAGTTATTAACAACTCCAATTATCAACAGCTACCACCAAGCAAGCCAAATAGACACCGATATACAGGAGAGGAGCTGACCCAACTTCACCAAAGCCCTCTGGAGGGCCCATTAAATTGCAAGCTTTTTATTTTATTTTATTTTAATTAAGTTGTTGAATCAACACATATTTGAATTTTTTAATCAAATTGGCCAGTAATTTTCAGCTCTTTTTTTTTAATAAAAATAACCTCTAACTAAATAATTTATTAAATTAAGTTATTTAATTTTTATTATAAAATATTTTACAATTTAAATTGTCTTAAATTATAAAACATTGCCTAATAAAAAAAAATCTCTAATATCCAAAGATCTTTCTCTAATTAGATAATTTTATTTTATAATATGAAATATTTTAAATTATAAAATAAAATACTCTTTTGGTAATAAAATTTTTTTTTATTATTTCATCATCAAGTTGTTCAATGGATTTGAGGAATAGTAGGTCCTCTGCACCCGTGCTTCCTTTAGCCTCGGCATATTTTATGAATGAATGTAGTCCTTCTTTACTGCTGAGAGTTTGGTTAAAAACTTAGTAAATTTTTTTTTTTCATTTATACTATATTAAATTGTAAAAAAAATAACGAATTAAAGAAAAACCTTTCATTTTTACAGATCTTCACCAC